CTTATATTTGGAATGAGATGAGCGTTAGTACATGTGGTGGGCTTATCCACGGGGGGGGGGCTTTTATTTGGAGGGGCTTATATTCGGAGGGTTACGGTATACAAATATATAAAGTATTTATACTATTAAACTTGAGTGTGCTCATTTTGATCTTCTGGGCATCTGATCAACAGATTCTTTGGTGTATTTTCTGAACATTTGTCATGATTCATGTTTCGTTCGACTTGGTGCGTCTATTTAACCGTTTGCCTAAGCTTCTTCGTTGACGATCGGTTAAATTTTTAAAATAGGTTTTCCATTTTATAGGTACACCATCAAATCCTCCATGTGCGAAGCGCCGAAGCATAATCTCCATACAGTTACATCAAACAGTCAAATTATGTTGAAACTGACCTATACATATCACTGGACTACTGGAGGACGTGCTCAATTTAATTCGGGCTGCAAGCAGGCTACCAAAATGACGACACCGAGCATGAGATTTCATATAGCCTGGGTACGAGGTTGATGACGACTTTGGCCCATATCTAAATTCATGCCATTCTCGTCCCCAGAGCCATTTTCACTCGGTCACTCGTTGAAAATTAGGCTCTGGGATAGACGACTAAAGGAAGAGATCTGATTGGCTTCTCAGAGAACTGCTATCATAGGTCTCCCGAAAAGGTCTTTTATTTAAAAAAAATCCATACAATTTGCTTTAAAATACAATGCTTTGACATGCAATGCTTCAATGTAGAGTAAAACCTCTATAATTTGTATTACATGAAGTACGTGCAACATCACAATAGCGTTGTGTCTTATTCTATGGTTGTGTTGTGTCATTATGTAATATATACACAGGTAAAAATTGATCATGTTGTTCGGCGTTGTTCAAAAAGTAGCGAACAATGTTGTGCTGCACCCCGTGAACAATATTGTTAACAAGTTGTTCAACCATCAGTACTGTTGCAAGTTGTTAACATGATTGTCAACAAGTTGCAACAATATTGATGGTTGAACAACTTGTTAACAATATTGTTCACAGGGTGCAGCACAACATTGTTCGCTCCTGTTTGAACAACTTGCATCAACATGATGATTTTTACGCGTGTATTACATACACGGCAAAAAACGCCGAGTCCGTTGCTCAACAGGACTGATATTGTTGACAGCTATGAACAATGTGGGCAGCAAAACATTGTTCAATCCTGTTTTCATCAGTATTGCATCAACCTGAGCGTTTTTTGCCGTGTAATGACACAACGCTATTGTGATGTTGCACGTACTTCATGTAATACAAAATATAGAGGTTTTACTGTACATTGAAGCATTGCATGTCAAAGCATTGTATTTTAAAGCAAATTGTATGGATTTTTTTTAAATAAAAGACCTTTTCGGGAGACCTATGCTGCTATTTTGCAGAAGTTGAGCAGTTTTCGCTGGGCAAAATTATTCTATCAACATATGTCAACACAAATACTTCGTTTCTTCTTAATACTTCACTGTGAAAATTCTTACGGGTGCTAAAGTGCCCCAATTCAAGAGCATGCATTTTAGAAACTACTGCAAGTTTTCTTGCACTTCCGGTTCCGTGTGTCCCAGGGCCTAGGGAGGACGCACGCGGCCGAGAGGCCCTGGGGACGAGGATGAATTCATCCAGTCGCTTTGCCCGCGCGGGCGAAGCAGGCTTTGAAAATCTGCTCACGCGGGCGTGACGGGCAAAGCGAACGTTAATGCGGCCTTAACCACAGACACAATTTAGTTACCTATTTCAGCACCAAATAAATTGTTCTTCACATATTTAATGCACAAAATCCTGATATTTAGCCTGCAAACAGGCCCTTCTGGGCTGCTTGTGGTTAATTTAAATTTGTACACACGTAAAAACGCACAAGTTGTCACAGGTCTGCAAACAAGTTGTTACAAATATGTTCACAAGCTGTCAACAAGTTGTGTTCGCACTGCTTGTTCCCAGTTGTACGTTATAACAAGTTTGGAACAAGCTGTTCACAACTTGTAACAAGCTTGATGGCATTATCAGACTTGTCACAAGGTTGTTCTAAGCCGTCTGATACAATCATGATAATCAAGAATGTAACAAGGTTGCATGACGACACAAGGTTGTAACAATACTGCTATATCATGACTGTATCGGACTTGCTGGAACAACCTTGTAACAAGCCTGATAATAATTTGTTAAGTTGTTATTAACAATTTGTAACAACCTAGCTTGTTGATACCATCAGATGTTGCAAGGTTGTTCCAAAACGTCCGATACAGTCATTATATAGCAGTATTGTTACAACCTTGTGTCGTCAACCTTGTAACAATTACATTCTTGTTATGTACATGACTGTACCAAACTTGTTAGAACAACTTACAACAGTTAGAACAAAGTTGTAACTTGTTTCCAGACCTGTGACAACTTGCGCGTTTTTACGTGTACACAAGTTGTTACAAGCTGTCAACAAGTTGTATTCGCACTGCTTGTTCCCAGTTGATGCAACAAGTTTGGAACGAGCTGTTAACAACTTGTAACAAGCTTGATATATAGTATTATCTGAATTGTTACAAGGTTGTCCTAACAAGTTTGATACAGTCATGATACAACAAGAATATTACAAGTTTGACGACACAAGTTTGTAACAATATTGCTATATCATGATTGCATTGGACTTGTTGGAACAACCTTGCAACAAGTCTGATAATATCAACTAGGTTGTTACAATTTGTTAACAGATTGTTGCAAGCTTGTTGACAACTTGGGACAAGCAGTGCGAACACAACTTGTTGACAGCTTGTTGGCAGACTTGCTACAAGATGTGAGCGAATACCCTGGGAACGAGTTTGGTGTTGGTTACGCTTGGTCACGCGCTGGTCACGAGACTACCAGCTGTGCATCGGGAAATCTCGAGTAACGAGACTACGAGAATTACCGTGTTGTATTACTGTTATACTCCCAAACAATATATTGTATTGACGCAACTTTGGAGGGCTGAAGAATCAACCAAATTCACTAGTAAAAGGAATATACAATAGTCATGTAATTGCTGAAGACGGTAAGTTACATTTAATTCACTCAGGGTACATGAATTTGTTATATAATTATTATAGTATACAGACACTAATAGACAAGGAAATTATGCATTGCGAAATATGATTTACCAAGTGCGCTGCGTCAAGAGATCCAATCCAAACTGAGATCAATATAGTATATACCCATGATCAATATACAATGAACTTAATTAAATATTTTCGAATATGTGAAAAAATAATAAGCAAAGCCAGATATTGTTCATGATACAAAGGCCAATATACAACCGGAATTAGTGAATGCTCGAATGCGCACAGTTTAAAATCTAAACTAAGAAAACAGCATTACGAAGAGATTGGCTAAACCTAAAGAACAAAATTTTATCAGAAACAATGACATCATTCGCAGGCAAGGCCAATTCTGTTTCACTGAATTGGTTAATTCGGATTGCGGATAACAGTCGATTTATTAAATAGTCAAACATCATGACGTATATCTGTTTACAAGAGACGGGGACGAAGTAGCCTGCTCACAGACGTTGTAGTTCTTACGCCAAGCGACGAAATACTATTTCGTCGCATGGCGTAAGAAATACAACGTCTTTGAGCAGGCTAGGGACGAAGTCAAACTGGAATAAAAATTGAAGTTGTCAACATCTTTATACATGCAATCCACATTTGTATGGTGTCCCATGTCCGCCAAAAATCAACTTTTGCATTTCACTATGTGATATTTTGAGGATCATATTCATTTCATTAAAATAACATCATTGTTTTTGAAGATCACCGGTTTATCGGTTGAAAACACGACTTATTTTTTGAAGACCACCTTTTGAAGACCAACTTCTGAAGACCAACTTTTGATACCCCACCGCATCCAATGTCTTTGTTGTTTCCGGGCTCATATTGTCGTGATATTCTGCTAAAATTATCTCTGTCTGAGTAACTAAACTTTCTATATATTCAGTGTTTTATTTTCCTTATCCATTTTGTGCAGACTTATGTAAATTCAAGAATATGAATTATTCATATACCGTACAATGTACAATGTACATGACATGTATTAATAGTTAATTATGATTTATGACTTGGTGTTGGCGGCTCGTATTTTAGGGACCATTCATTATTTATGACTGGGGGTGAGCTGGCAAAAAAAAGGGGTGGGTAATGAGATATTTTTGACCAAAAAAGGGGGGCCACCTAAAAATATTGGTTCAAAAGGGGGGGTCCAGTTATTTATTATAGTGGTATTATAGTGGAGAAAAGTTTGACATGTAACGTACGATTATTGCTACCACAGGGAGCGACCTTTATCATTTAAATAATATACCTTTAAAATACTAACAATTGATTAATTTTAAGCGGCTACATTATCCATGCCAAACTGCAAAGAATGAAATTATTTCTCATACTTTCTTGCAACTTCTCCAATTTATAGTTAATTAAATACGCCTTCGCCCATTTAGTGCTGCTAAATTGTAAATGTCGACATACTAAAATGCGGATTTCTCACCATCAGAATGCTGTCAAATCTTTCCCAAAGTTCAGGAAATGGCATTTCAGAGACTCTAAATTTAAAAATTTCCTCGGGTCTTTGGCCCTCGCTTTCAGATCCCCAATCAAAAAGAGCTTCCTACGGCACTGTAACCCTAACCCTACTCCTATACTCCTAACCGATTTTACTCGTCAACGGGGAAGCTCTGCTAGGTATGTCCCGATTGTCCCAAGTTCCTCCTTCTCCTTTATAACAGCATAGCAAAGCCAACACTCGAATATTGTTGTAGTGTTTGGGGTAATTGCAGTACAGACGCTCTTGGACGTGTAACATCTGCCCAAAAACGTGCCGCGAGGATTCTTCTAAACGCTGATTACACTATCCCATCAATAACATTATTCAAAGAAATCAACCTTATCCCAATTCATGACACCATTCGCCACCGGATCCTACTACAGACGTTCAAATGCATATATGACATCAGTCCACCATGCCTCAGCACCCTCATGGAAAAAACAACCCACCACCATTCAACAAAAGCTATTGCGAATAATAATGTCCACATCCCAAAAGCAAGATCTAACGCAGGAAAACGACAATTTTCATTTATGGCATCTACCTTATGGAACAGTTTCCCTAACGAGGCAAAGAAAATAACATCGCGCGCAGCCGTCATTCAACACATATTGCAAGAGTTACTTTAGTCAGAAACTCGTGAGTTCAACTAAACTTAACAGCATGCATAAGGCTTTATTATAAGACATCTAAAAATATCATTAGTAATTATTGTTTAATATAAGTATATAGTCCAATCAGTGACAGTGTATTTCTCTGTTAAGAACATTTAGTGTTTGTTTGTTTGCATGTTTTCTATTTTATTAAGACTATAAGTTGGTTGCCTTCTTGATGTACGAACTGCCGAAATTCATGCCTACAGTTTTAGCTGAGCACGATCCAACTTTCAGTTGTTCGTACATGGAGAAAGTGTCAAATACTGTCATGTTTATAATCTCACTATAGACACTTGTGAGTTGTATGTCAACGCGTATTTCGACTTGTTATACTGTACTGTAAATA